GGATAACACCGCACCCTGACTTTGAATGCAATTCGGGAAGCCTTGTAACCGTAGTTTATAAAATAAAAATCAATGCTAAGTGGGGGCAAGTATTGCATTTCGTATATCCAATACAGCTTCTTAATTCGCTTAAAGTCTCGCTGACACACTTTCATATAAAAAGGACGCATTAAAAAATATATATATAAAGTCACAGTGATTCGGCAATGAACCAGAAACCCATAATCGAATGGGAGTGAGATTATTTTTAATAATATTCCATTGTTGCTTCGTGTTAGAAAATTTGTTTGTTAAATCGGAAGTAAACACATTGTGAAATATTACACCGAATTTATTTGCATTTTTCCACAAATTGAACGGGATACGGGACGACACGCGATGCTAAATATTGATAAAAATAAAAAATATATATATATTTAAATAATTTAAAGTTATACAATTCGACCGTTTAGTATAGTTTCAAATATATGAGTCAAGGGAAAAGAATCCTGAACATGTTTATAAACCAATTTTAGATGTATCACGTGAGCAATCCGGATATTATATACACCACGTTCCTCTCTTAATTATACAACCTATATAAATGCTTATACGAGGCTCTAAACTGTCGCCTTTTATATAATTTGATTCCTTTTATAACCGATAGGGGGGGGTGTCGACTGGTATTCATCGGTGGACTCGGCCGTTCCTCGACAATCAGATAAGGTGAGGTCGAGCTTGTTTGTTCCGAAGGAAGAGGTCGGAACGGAGACGACCAGTCGTCCACAAGGAGTACGGTCAACTTTACAAAGATAAATTTTAACAAAACAAAAGTCGCAATTGTTAAGCTAGAACGTCCAGAACGAGCTTTGGTTCCTCTACCATAGAAAACAATATTCGAACGGAATTTAAAGAACTACTTGGCAGTATCACGTGATCGAAAACTATAAGTACGCTACGATGTAAACGTTCCATTACCGTACTGATCATTGTTATCGTCAATGTTGATAAAATAAATCAAAGGAAGGTTATTGTCTGAATCGAATTATCCTTTCGTAAGGGTATTCGGTATAGATTATCGTTTAAAACAATTCATAACGCGAATATATATACACACACACACACGCATGCACAAGAGCAATTATTGTTATTGTAAAGAAGGGGGCATTATCATATTTTTCTCGTTTTATTATAACCGAACCGAGTATCAACCGTTCGAGTTACTTCACTCTTGTTTCGTTGACCTTCAAATTGTTTCTCAGTAAGAGCCACGTCGTCTCGTTTTCACAGAATGACATAATGGTAAGATCATCACCCCGACTCGTTATTCGGGGGGCGAGCGAGAAAAAAAGAGCCCCCTCCATTACGACATAATTAATTTTTCTTCTAATAGCATAATGCAATGGGCGAATCAATAAACTTTGCAATAAACTGTACTAGTTTTGTCACCCCGGCGCGAGCGGAGGGGGGGGAGGAAAATATGCAATTTTTACACGTTCTAACCTCGCTTTTGACATTTTTAGGAACGGTTGAAATACAACTTTTATAATAGTCACGCGAAATTATAAACGCGAACGATGTTTACCGGCAGAAAATACGGCGAGGTGTCTAGACGTCTGGTTGAGATTGCAACAAAAACTAAAACCGAAATGCCAAATAAATAATACGGCCGAGCTCTTACATTCTGCAGGGGATGCCTACGACCATTAAATAAAAGAGGATTTTCGAAAAGAAGAAGAAGAAAAAAGAGCTTTCAAAATGGCTGAAAGAGATGATTGAGTCGAAGCAGTCGGAGTAAAGGACGTGGAGATTCGGCGCCATTTCCTCGTTTCATCTCACCACGTCGCGCCCAGAAACCCCGCTACAGTCCTCTTTACGTCTGCGGTGTATGATAGGTGGTGCCCATTGGGTTGTTGACAGTTTGGGTCCATACGACGAGAAACGTGGGAGTGGTACGTCCCGAAACCATTTTTCTGTGGCGTAAACGGCGTGAAATAAACCGGCGGCAACAATAAAACGATTCAGACAATTCCCGTCTCGATAAAACACGAGCGCAGGAAAAAAAGGGACCGACTCGAAACGTGAAACAAAAGATACTGTTTTTGGTAATTGGCCACAATTGCCGTTCGGGATGGAGGTCACCGGCGATCACGTGTTAAAAGATGGCGTTAGATATTTTAACGCCGAGTTCGGGAGATGGAGCTGGACTTTTAAAAAGGTTGGAGATAAAATCGCGGTTCTAAAGGTCACTAGCTCGGTCAGCGAACGACAAGCGAATGCGACAACCAGCTGCTGCACGGATTGGCGCCAAAACTGTCGCTTCTTTGTTCCTTCGGACTGCACCTGGCACCGAGTCGCCTCAAGTTGTCGTTCTTTGTTCTTTGGCTTTTAGGAAGACGGCGAAGATTTCAAAAAATAACTCGGAAATTACCACCTTAAGCGATCGATAAGTACATTTGTCATAAGATTTTTGCCACTCGATAAATTAAGGAATCGGGACGAATTCAAAAATACATATATATTTGTGTCCGTTCGGAATAAATAATCAAGTTTATTTTGATTAAACCAGAGCTTAAAGGAAATCCAAACGAATTTCTTAACCGTTTCGCCAAGAAAAAAAACCAATTATTCTCCTAAAACCGAGTTATTTTTATATCAAACTCGATGGAACGCAAATTTTTAAATACGGCAACAGGAAAAAAATTTTCAAATATAGCCCAAAACTTTCCGTATTTTAATTTTTTTTTTAAGGAAAAGCGTCCCCACGCGTCGACAATTCGAATCAAAATGAAGCGTCCCATCTGCGCGAGCTGGATTTTAACAATGATCGGTTCCGTCGGTTGCCACGACGACCGGTCACGTGATCGCGACTCCTTTCTCGCATCTTTGTTTTCTGGTGGGCGGATGCGATCGCCGCGACTGGCGAGAACGCGATCGAACGGAACGTAATGAGAGGAATTAACGCGATAAAAAAAACTTTATTTCAATTAAAGTGAATGGAAATTTTCGCATTTAAAAAACTAAATCGACGTATTTATCAATTTTTCAAGCGGTAACTGAGCGAGAAAGATAAAAAAAATAAGTAAATAAAAATATGCGCAATTGTGTCAAGAAGAAGGAACAAGGAAATAATCGCGCGAGCGTGTCTCGGTCACTTTTCAGCTCACTTTCATACAATACGGAATTTTATTTTAAAATATAACAACCATAACGCGAAAAATTCCTCTCCTCGCTAAATTAATAATAAACTTTTCCGTAAGTTTTCTATTGACGCGACGCGACGCGCTTCGCTCGCCGCGCCGGCGACGATAGAAAAATTTGTCGCGGGCGAACTTCGAAACCCGATAGATGGCGCGCATCCGATCCCGGAACAGCGTTTCCTGTTCCGGTTTTGTACTCGAACAGCTGGTCGACTGGAAAGGGGGGAGGGGAATATATTTCTGACAATCTCGAATAGAAAACACAAAGAGAAGGCGAATCCGTAGGTGTTCTTCAATGACGAATTAGGCGGAAACACAAGGGGAGGAAATCGAGAGGAAACGGCGTTTGGCGTATCTTTTTCGGGGGGGCTAAAATGGTCCCTGACGTAAGTAGCAGAATCTCTTACGTCACACGCAGATTAGGGGTAGAAAGTGCGGCATTTTATCGCATTTTCGTGGAAGGAGTTCAATAATCAGCTGGGGTGATGGGCAATATGCCATCAGTGTAGGTGATAAACCATTGGTAGGATGGGAAGGGAAAACATTCGGATTAAAAATAACCGAGGCCACCACGACGTAAGTTGTTTCGTGAACTATTTATAAAGAAGAGACACTCCCAGGTTAAAGAAATAGATGGTCAAAAGCACCAACACGGCGGGTCAGATCATTATCCCGAAATTTAACAGTTAAAGAAAAAAACTCCCCATACCTCTTCCGAATCCGTTCGGAAGGGAAAATTAAAAACGTATACACGCACATAAGGGGGTTTTACTTATCGTCCGAACGGTATAAAGATAAAAATATGTCTTGAGATAATACAAGCACCGAATGTGACCACGTGCTTTAGTATGGTCTGTTGTACAGGATAATTAGAGGGTCCGGTCCGTCCCTCCGTGGAATACGTAGGACCAGGTGGTAGTCGAGGACTGTGACCTCACCCTGCACACCTGCCCGGGACCGGGTGCAGACGAAATAGAAAATAGAAAGGAAATGCTCTCTCTTCTTTTATGGCCCGTCCCTCGAATTTTCGAGTGGTGTTACTGCGGGTGGTTGAGAAAACTAGAAATTCCCGAATTTAAGAAGCGCAGCGAGCGTCAAAGGAAACGGAAACCGAAAAATTCCTGTGCGTTAACCGTAACAATTGAGAAAAAGTTATTTAGAAAATAAGAATTTTTACACTAGAAAACACAAGGAATATGACAGGCAATGAAAACACACGTACTCTTAACTAGTGTTATTATATATACACATTAATGAGCTATAATAAAGAAACAATTGTTGTATATAATACACAATTGCGAATAATGCCGTTTTATTTAGTTATATTAAACGACGAAGAATAGTGTTTCTGTTAAAGGGAAATTAGAGTAGTCTTATCGAAAAGGGTCTCGCTTGTCTTCTATCGAAAGTTGACTAACGAAGGGCGGATATGAGGCCAAAGACACATCACACTTTCCCCGACCAAACTCGAAACTACGCGAGGCCTTCGCAACAACACTATAAGCACTGTTAATTAATTAACTTAAAAAATAAATAAATAAACCGAAGCGCGAGGTGCTAATCGTTTAAAATCCCCGACTCGACTGTTTAGCATAATCAGTTGTCATCGCAAATATCCGATAATCAATGGGCAATTAGTAGTGTCAATCATAATATATTTCAAATACATTAATGCCAAACGGTGGGCATAAGAATGGTCGAACGGGCGATTGGGATTACCGGGCAAAATCAATTGGCGATTATTATTTTTTGGCTAAACCGAAAGAACGGGTAAGTGACACAAAAACACCCACAAGAATTGACAGAAAAGGGTATACTCACCACACGACTCCGAAAGCTCCGTAACCAATAGGTCTGTCCGGCTGGATGTTTTGGGAAGATTGGTAATAGGGTTGGGCAGCGGCTAAGATAGCCTGTTGCGATGTAGCAGAGGCCATCCCCGGGAAAGCCATCATGTGCCTACTGGTTCGAGCCCCTACCATCGCCATTACCCAGACAATGCGGACAAAATGTGATGGGAAAACTACACCGAGCGCTCCATTATCCTGTTATTTCCCATCGTCCGAGCGAAATAAACCACCACATCAGGAATGTCGATGATGCTTTTTCCCGGCCGATCTTGCGCTTCTTTACGGATCACAAATATAACATCGTCAACATCCACGACACCCGTACTGACCAACCGTACCCCATACCACACCGTAGACACAATAAAAGGTACTCATGAGTTTCCCATAATACATTGCGAGTAATATACGCTGGCGTAGCGCGCACCCCATCTGGTGGCCCGAATGCGAGTCAAAAACGAAAGGACCGAGCAAAAAACTAAAATAAATCCCGTTAGCCGACGTCCAGTTTATCAATTAACAAATGACGTAGAGATCGGTCGTTTTAGTAAACAAAAACTTTTTTAAATCTCGGAGCCCGAATATATAATTAATAATAAGCCAATAGATTGGAGTATTTTGGGAATGGCGAAATTTACAGCGGCAATGGTTTCTCGCAGCTGCAAAGCAGATTTTTCCTTGAAACTCCTCATTATATTTGCTGAATATTATTATAATAAATTACGACCAAGGACAAAATAAAAATTTTCTTCTGATATTATCAAGGACGGATGATACGGCACATGGATATTTTTCAAAAATTTCTTAATTAAAAGTTTTCACTATCCTCGCTATTATTATTATTAAAATTAATCAACTGCCATTATGTTAATCAACTGGTTTTCGTAATTATGTCGAAAATCTAATTAAAATTCCCCCATATTTCGTAAAGCTTCTCTTCTTCCCCGACGGGAATGACGCCATCTGATGTCGAAATTATAAATTACTTATTCAAATATTAAAATTTTATTTTCCGTTATAATTATGCTAATTTATATGAAATTTTATTAGCGTATTAGTTATTAACGAACGTTATTTATTAAAATTAATATTAATTTAAAATAATTAATTAATTTAATTTAATCTGTAAGTATTTATTCGTCGTAATTTAATTAAACAATTGCAATTATAATCGTAAGTACCGATCGAGTCGTCGCATAATGGCGAAACGAAAAAAACGCTCTCGATGTTGCGCGCGAATGCGAGGCGATGGGCGACGCGCTCGTACGTAATGTCCCGACCCGTATTATTTTGCCAGGAATTACCAAGGTCAAAATGGAAACCGTATCCTCGAGGCAATGGAAAGACCTTACCGCCGAGCCGTCCGTCTTATATTTCTATCACAAAAAGCATTTAAAAGTGTATATTTGCGTTACACGCGCTTGCTCCAAATAAGAATTCTCTATATAAAGTATAGAATATTTTCGCACGTATAACGTTCCATACGCTAAAAATTCATATCGAATGTGGAAAGTGATTCGTTATTTTAGAAACAAATCCTAATTTTCTTTTTCGCCATCACCTCTGACGAAGAGCGATTGACTCGAGCGCATCTTCAGACGTGACGATTCTGTGCAAATAATTCTGGAAAGGAAGATAAGAGAAGAAGACGTCGAAGATGCCGGAGCTTGTAAAGACGTCGTTTGAAGAAGCGCAGTACCAGGAGCCGAAAAGAATGAAGGAAATCTGCCTTTAAACTCCGAAAAATCCACGTAACGTTACTTCGTGGACTATTTCTTCGTTCGCGGTTTGAGTCGAGTGGTATTTGTTTGTTTCTTTCATTTTCACGGTGCGTACGAGAAAATCGCTCCTGATGGGTGTCCACTGGCTTTATTTTCCTAACTAGGTTTTGCCATTAAATGTAGTTTTCTGTTCCGTTATTGTAATTGTTAGTAAGTTTACGACGACGAGTAGTTACGAGTGTCACGTGAAAAATAATGGAAGTAAAGAATTCGATCTCAACGAGTATTTGAATACGATGAATTTCTTTCCTTCTTTGGTCGCGAATATGGCTTATTCTGCTTTACTGCAATCATTAATGAGGTTACAGTCCGTGCCATCCTAAATGCTAACCGAGACGATAGCTACGAAGCGCGCTGTCCGATAGATATACGTCATCGATAAGTTCGTCGATAGATATACTGGTCTTTGCCATACGTTCTCTGTGTCGGGTTGCCGATAGCTGGCGTTAGAGTCGCCCTAGGGCGAGAAGTTTGTTTATCTATTGGGTTAGTAGGTAGTTTTCTAACTTTTTTCTACTGTACTTATTCGTAATTATATTTTTAATTTTATATCGTGTGTAAAGAAAGAAAATAATATATTTGATTTATAAAAAAATTAATAACGTGATAATTTGAAATTACAGATGAGGATGTGACTAAATCGAAAATAATTTTATTTTCCATTCAATTTATTCAGATTTTAAACAGATCTCTGTTTAAAATCTGAATAAATTGAATGGAAAAACTTATGTACAAAACTTTCATTCACAATACGTAGCAATATAACTGTTTTAAACAGTTATATTGCTACGTATTGTGAATGAAAGTTTTGTACATAACGTTCTGAGTACAGAAATACCCCGAACTTACGCGATAGGTGGGACCCAGCGATAACCGCGTAAGTCGGGGTATAATTTCGCATATAAATACATACAAATCATTTTTAATTGAGGCCGGAGACTAAAGGAAACAATAATTTAGAAAAAAATGTTTAATGAAATCTTAGATAATACATATGTATGACAAATTATATTATTATACAATTTTTCACATTTATTCGATTATCACGCCATAATTTTAACATCGTTTCCATCTCAGCGATAATACCGTGACGTTTACGAATGACGCTCGAATTTAAAGATTGAGCATTTTTTACAGCTTCGAGAATTTTTTCTTTACCTTTTATAATTGTTCTGACCGTCGATTCCGGTAGATCAAACTTCTTTGCCAATTCACAAATTTTCGTTTTTGTGTCGAAGTCTTCAATAATGTTAACTTTACATTCCAAAGATAAAGTTTTTCTTTTCTTGTTTGATGCGGAAGAATTAGTTCTACTTCGTTTGGATGACGTAGTAGAGTCTCTCGAGTCTCCGTAGATATAACAAACACAGAAATAAATAACACAAAATAAATTGTAGGTATATGTCGATTCCGCGAACATGTAAGCCGTCCGACACGTCCGAACATGTAAGCCGAACAATAGTGTGGGGGGAGTGAGTCATGGAGAGTTGTGTGGCGATCAAACGAAAGACGAATCGAAGAGATTTGAAAATCGCCTAACTCCGGGTTCGCGTAAGTCGGGGTAGCGTAAGTCGAGCTATTACTGTATAACATATCTGTTTAATAAACAAGTAATAAAATAAAACAGTACAGTAAAATTTACCTATTTAACTTTAACACTACATAAAGTGCGCTATACAATTTTACTTTATTCGGTATAGTGAGAAATAGTATTTCGGATGAAATAGTTTTCTATTTTTGACGAAAAATTTCATTTTTTATGACACATTGGCTCTATATATTTTGGTAATTTATATATCAAAAGTAGAATATGAATGAAGATTTATTGATGGCCAACTACACCCGTCCTTTGTTTATATAGGTTTAAACATCACTAATATGTCTTTCTTTTAGACTCCGTGTCATCACTAATCACTATCACTGTCAATATCTAATAATACTGTCTAAACTCTCGCCATCCTACATTTACCTATTTTATTTGTCAACCTCTAACTCGTCATCATCTAATTACCTCTAAGTTATTATGTGTCTGTAAATATGTTGTTTAAATCGTTGGAATTTCTTCCCCCCTTAACAGCCTATATTTGAAATCGAGAACTAAATCTATTGACTTTTAATCCCTCTCTCTAACCCACGGGTTCCCAACCTATGGGTCGCGACCCAGAAGGGGGTCGCGACGGGTTTTCTGTGGGGTCGCCAACTTATACAGTAAACTAAAAAAAATATTCACTATAATGCAATTTTTATTTTTAATATATGAAATTATTCAAACTTCAAGACACTAGTCTTGAAGTTTGAATAATTTCATATATATTTTTTTTAAATTAAAATAAGTGTAATCTAGGTACGCTATTCTGTCACAGTTGGTTGAAACATGTGTTGAGAGTTTGAGAGAAATAAATTAAATGTTGAGAATGACATGAGATTGGCGTTAACAAAAACTCTCCCGCGAATTTTGAAACTGGTTAATAACATGCAATTTCAACCATCGCATTAAATTATTAAACAATTTTAATAAAATTATAGTAAAAAAACTAATTTCGTTGTTTTTTTAATTACCTTATTAAAAATGCCTTTTTTAATTGTATCGGGGTCGCGGGACACTTGGCTTTTATAAAAAGGGGTCGCCACCCGAAAAAGGTTGGGAACCGTTGCTCTAACCTGTTCCGAACTTTTTTTGGCTCAACTTTAATCTCTCTCTCTCTCTCTCTCTCTATCACTAATAAACACAATTTGTGAACGACATATAGCTAATTTCTCACTGCAAACTACAATAATTCACCTAATATTAATAAATAAAAAAAGATAAGAGCTTAACCTCCATAAACTCCAAAGCCATCCTAAATCCTAACTCTCCTTTTCTTAACACTTTAAATCTATCCTGTCTTAACACACCGTTTAACATTTCTATACGTTTCCATAATTTAATGTATATAATTTTCATCAACTCCTTTTTTCCCGATTTGGACTTCCCAGGAATCCCGAAGGCATCCCATATTAATAATGTATATACAGTAGATTCCCCTATAAGACGGGTTCCTATAATTACGATTCCTATAAGACGGCGAAAAAATTGTGGCGGTATCCGTAAACAACGGTAAAAAACTCCTATAATTACGTAAAACGTCATCGGGCAGCTGAACTACTTTCCACCGTCCAGTGCTACACTATGGACAGTTTAGGTGAGCTACCGTCTGTACAGTATGTAAATTAGGTACCTTAAGTCTAATACAGTACTGTAATTTTATACATTTCTTGTGAAAGAAACATTTCTTATTCAACGGCCATTAAAATTATTTATATTAATGATGTCTCCGAAGTTCAAGGAAGTTTTGGCAGAAAAATAAGTTATTAGAAATCGGCCGCGGTTTGCTGAGCTGTTCCGCGACGAAAACAATGTTGAGCAATGGCGATGTCGAATGGTGACACTCGGTAAGTAATTCTACAATTTTTTGTTTATAGCGTAGTTTATATGGATTATTTCCGAAAAAAAAAATATACGTATTTTGGAAATGTTGAATCGGATAGTTTAGAATCGATTAATTTTATGGAAGAAAACCTTTCAAACAGCCGTAGTCCGTAAACTGAACACGTGTCGGGC